AGCACGCAGCTTGAGCCCATGAAGGCCAGCGACAACTAGAACAACTTGTTATGCAGCACAGCTTTGAAAGGTGTCCGGAGGGCTCCGAATAGTCCCATCCTTCTTGCGTTTGCAGACAGTTGCTGAGGTTTCATGACGACCTGTGGTAGCGAACTGCCATTCGTCTTTCTAAGAAAACTGTTTTCACGCGAAGGTATGAGCATCGAAAGCGGGCCGCTGCAAAACAGGTGGAAAAGTTTGCAGCGTTTGCACAAATGTGCTATACAGCTCTTGCATCATCCCCTGGCAGGCTGTGTTCACTTAAGTATGCAATGAGGAGAATGGTGGAAGAAGTGAGGGAAAGGTTCTACATGAAACCCTATCGCCCCTACCCGGAGTTGTCCAGACCCCGTGCCGCAATTTTGCCCTGACCTATGGGATTCATTTTTTCCAGATGTTGAAGGGGCTTGCGCCCACTTAAAGGTTTCTGAAAGCTGCACCTCGGTTGCACGCTCCCACTTCTGGATGCAGGCAGAGATGCAGCGAGAATTGGCCAGGCAGAAGGAGGTGCTTAGCCCCAGGACTACAGGAGTCATGCCATAGAGGCCCACAAGAAGTCTTGCAGAATCTTGCAGATGTTGGAAGTTCTGACAACCTTGAGGCATTTGCTCAGCAGCAGCGCGCTATGCAGGAGCAGTATGCCCACCAGGCCTTGCACTGGATGTCCTCCGGTCCGCTGCCGCATGCTTCCGCACTCCATCATTCTTAAGATGACATGTTGGACATGCTATGTCGTTCAAAGCAGAATTGATCTCACCGTCAGCCCTTGGCAGGCAGCAGGGTTGGCAGCTGATCGCCAATCATCTGCCGTCCTTTGGCACATTCTGGACACACTAGCAAGACAAGCTCCCCATGTTGAAGGCTCTATCGGCTTCTTCATTCTTCCCACAAACAGACGACGATTCAACCTGCACATAATTTACGCTAGATGTAAATATGAAATAACATAGCTACTTACTTCCGTGGCTTTACCAACTCGACTTGGGTTTTTGGGGAAGTCTCTGCAACCAGGATTAGAGCGTTTGGTGTATATTATTAAAGAAGGCCACCAAGTTTGGGAGACGTCCAGATGTTCCTCGTCTGAACGCTTGCTTGCATTGCTTAGCAGATAGATCCAGAAACTAGGCACCGTGTCACGCCGGAGCTTCTCGCACATTGTTTTGGTAAGCAGAGGAAGTTGCAGCACAAAGGCACAACGGACTCTACTGGTAAACTCTTACCAAGGCATCCACAACCCATGAGAAAGATCACTGCTGGTGTGCGCCACAGGGTAATTCAGGGGGAGCTAATGAGCACGCTTGGGCCAAAGGAAGGGACCTCCGACAATGTTTACTGAATTTACTGAGGTTCTTTGGCGGAAGTATTTTCACAAGCTATAAAACTAGAAACAGGACCACAAGCAATGCTGCACATTTGTCAGAGATGTATGAGGTTAAGCAAGGACGTTTCGGCAACATCTCCCTTTCAAGGCCACGATCCGTCCACAACGCCCACAGAGCAAAAAAGTTTCTTGGTTCTGTCCCGACTCCATCACATTGGAATTTCAGTACGGTGTCCTGCCTCCCTATACTGCTGGCATTGATGCTGCTGCTGATGATGTGTTCATCACTTTGTACTTGGTGGTTCTTAGTGGCTTGTAGTTGAAAGTGCGGTACCACCCAGATCGGAAAAGCCTGAAAGTCGAGAATGTCGTTCCTCTCATGCTTTGCAGCTCTGAAGGGCCAAAAACACCACGTGAGACATGCGCACACACCGACGCCAGCGACGAAGACTACTACAGGCGTCGCGATCTTAACCGATCGTATTCTTTTTGCGCGTCCTAAAAGCTTTAGGACGGCAAGAAACTGTTGAAGTTTACAGTGCTCGGCCAAAAACATCAATCTTTCAAGGAAACCCAGACCCTGAGGAACTACTTGTCAAACATTATTTTGTTGGTCAGCATGGATGCTCGTGGGAGCATTATGTTTTGGCAGCACGAACGTTGCCCAGCATGGGTGCTCGGCGAAACCATGCGCTTGTGGCATTTTGGCCAGCATGGATACTCCTGCTCGGGGACACAACATGTTCTGATAGCACAGTCTGCACTGTGTGGCATCTCCCCGGCACAAGCACGCTTCCTGGGGGGGATCTTGCCATGGCTGCAGACATGACATCGCCGAAATGGACATCTTTTGCCATGCTCGAAAAGATGGAGTAATCTCCTCCTAAGACAACCACTGCTACTACTACTACCACCACCACCACCACCTCCTACTAATCCACGACAACTGTTTCGACCACTGCTACCACTACTACGACGAAGACGCAGAGGAAGACTAAGACGGCGAAAACGACGACGACGACGACGACGACGACGACGACGACGACCACATCATCAACAACAACAACTGCCGCCGCTGCTATTACTACTATCGCAACTACTATTGTTGCTACTACAACAACAACAACAACAACTACAACTACAACTACAACTACTACTACTACAACTACTACTACTACTACTAGTACTACTACTACTACTACTACTACTACTACTAGTGGGTAACGGCCGCGTTTATGACGGCCACCTGCGTGTTTTCTGCTTGGTCCACTTGCTTAGTGTTTTTGGCTTGAGTTGTTTGTGCGCTTTATAGTGCGTTCGGGCCTATTTAACGGTTTTTGAGAAGAAACATGTTTTGTGAAAAGTGTGTTTTGTGAAGTAGGCTTCGCGGTGGCTTTTTCTCGTTATTAATCGCCCCGTTTGTCCAAGGGTTGCCCCATTAGTCCAAGGGTGTGAGGACTTCTGATTTAATTTTATCATCGCCCCATTAGACCAGGGTATTCGCCATTAGTCCAACGGTGGGAGGACTTCTGATTTAACTTTTTATCGCCCCATTAATTTATCCAAGGCACGCCCCATGAGTCCAATGGTTGGAGTTCGGATTTTTCATTTCTATCCAAAGGATCGTTTCATCCCTGACTCTGCTTGGAGCCAATATCAACGATGCAGACATTTCAGCTTCCGTGTGCTGAAAACATGTTCAACAAGAAAAGCCCCGAAAAGGAGAAGGTGAACTGAGGCCATTTGAGACCCACGAGCGCTGGTACTACTACTACTACTACTACTACTACTACGACTACTACTACTACTACTACTTCTGCTAGTACTACACCTGCCAGGACCAGCACCACCAGCAGCACCGGCACCGGCACCGGCACCAGCACAAACATCACCACCAACACCACCGCCGCCGCTGCCGCCACCACCACCCTTGCAGTGTGAAAACGACGAACTTAGAGTCGGAAACAGACCCAGGCGTACGCCCAGCCAGCACGAGCCGCGCCGCAGGCATACTACGCTCAGGCACTGGAGTTTGAAGGATGAAAGCAAAAGGAACACTTGCAGGCACACCGCTGCCTTACTTGTCTGGGCGTTTTAAAATCCCCAAGCCTGAAGCAGGCGCAGCCTCAGGCCATGCCGGCCTACTATGCTCCACAGGCAGGGTTTCAAGTCCAGCTGAGCCCTTGTCCTTGCTCCTGCGGCTGCAAAGCGTGTTGCAACCAGTCATCAAGAGACGGCAGATGTCAGGTACGTGCGTTTAGATCAGAAGTACTTCATTCTGGCAAGGGCACAGCCAGGGGTCAAGTTGAGGCATGAAAGTTTGACATGGCCTTGCGAAGGTCCCTGAAACGTGAGCATCACTGGCCCCTAGTCAGCTGCGAGCGGTCGCAAGCAGTTGCTTGCCTCGCTAGCTTGTATGCGTTGATACTGCCAGCACTGGCTTGGCCGTGCATTCATGGCGACGATCAACCACTTCATTTGAGGTTTCCGATGAGCTGTTTGATGCACTTGTCGCCCCTGACGCAGCCAACCCAATGCTGGGCCAGGAGTTGCAAGGAGCTGCTATTGCAGCCGAGTGCACTTGGCTCCAGGCCTCTTTTCACCACGGACGTGCCCCCAAATCGGATGGTATAGAGATAGGGTACCGAAGACGACGGAAGGCCTTCCGAATGATGTGCGTCCTGCCAACGTTGCCAATGAACGCTCTTGACTTGTCAGAAAGTCTTTGGCAGGTCAGATTGACTACGCAGGACTAATTCAGTGAGCTGTGATGATAGCCTCGCAGATCTCTTATGTACATTAGGGCGAGTCGGCTCCGGCTAAGTTGGCTTGCCCGACTGGTCAAAGCGTGGTTAAAGAGCGCGTTGCACCGTTGAACAGTCTGAGGGGTTCCTGTGGAGGAGTTCTGCACGTGTGCAGTTTGAGTTTGGCTCGTCAACGCATGGATGCAAGCCATGAGCACGATAAAGTTGGATGGATTTCATGTGCTGATGACATCGCATCCAGCAGTCTCAGTTAGCTCACGCTCTTCATCTCTGCATGACATTGAAACAGTGCGAAGCTCTAAAGTCGGACAGGAAAGAGGAAGCTGCGTTCTCTGAGCTCAAGGAGGCCATGGCCTCCGCCAGCTGCCCCAGCGTGCCCGAGCTCAGGGCTGCACTTGGTAAAGCCGAAGCCCAGAGTGCGGACAACCAGGACGACAGGCGAAAAGAGAAAGACGGTATGGAAGGCTATTGCATGACCAACCATCTTTGTGGCTCTTTTCATAGGGCCCACATTATTCCCGCCGGAAAGGCAGTCCTCGTAATTTTTAAGCGCCAGTCTCCCTTGAACACTTTCCCCAGGTGCGGCTTTATTTCACCTTTTTTGAGCGTGCACGTTGGATGTTGGAGAGTTGACGCTTTCTCCTTCCAGGAGGCCTTGCAAGCAGCGGGATTGCAGGGGCAGCAACTTCTGGCTGAGGAGCAGGCATTGCGCCAGAGTTTGGAATCACGGCTGCAGTCCGCGTAGCACCACAAGGCAGCAGGTGTACAGTTGGAAAGGACGAAAATTCTGAGCAAAACATGGGACCTTGCTAACACATTCCCTTCGTCAGCAATGGCAAAGCCTAGTAAAGTAGTGAAATCAGCACTGGAGTCTCATGAGCGCTGAGGAAGTCTGCCGACGGGAGCTTGCCGAGCACCTGGCCGATGAGCGATCCCAGACGCCCGTCTCTGAGCCACGGCTGCGTAATGGGCAAAAGGCCTCAGGGGCCCGCAACGAGTTGGAACGGCTTCAGCTGCGGAACCAGCTCATGGCAGAGGAGTTGGAGGAGCATGAGAAAGAGGCCAAAAGAAGCCACGACACCAAGCGTGCGGAGCCTGCACGCATACGAGGCAAGTCACAGAGTGAGGATGGCAGACTCCAGGATCTCTGCCAGGAGCTTGCCGAGGCAAAATGCGCTGAAGAGGATCGGGAGGGACAACATATGTAGAAAGAGTCTCCCGGCTTGCACAAAGCAAGTTATCTTCACAGTCCTGACATGTACATTTTGCATTGTGCGAGGCGGCCGCTGCGCGCTGGACACGAGAGGAGCGGCGCCTGGAGCAGGAAGTCTCGGAGGCAGAAGAGTCCGATGCCATCATGATGAAATCAATGAGGCAGAAGCTTGAAACCCTGAACGAGCGGAACGAGATGCTTAAGCAGGAGCTTCGGATTGAAGAGGCCAAGACCCAAAGCAAGACGCTCTCCTTGGAGGCTGCTGTTGGCCAGCTGCGTGCCGAGCTGAAGTGCTGGGGCGCGGGGAGCCCCACCAGCCCTACCTCATTGCCTGGCTTTAGACGAGCAAGCAATGTCAGCGAAGTCTGGAGCGGCCGCACTTCTGAAAGCTCCTCTGGGTCTCGTGGCTCTCAGGCCTCGCATGGCTCGCATGGCTCGGGGGCCAGGCTGAGGGTCAGGAAGGCCTCCCGGCGGCCTACCACAACTTTTAGGCCACTGCAGCAGCTGGTTGCTGCAGAGAAAGCTGTCACAGAGCACGACGGGCCGGCAGAGGCTACAGAAGCTGCCAACCCCACTATGCCCTCACTGCACTCCCTCCGAAGCTCTGTCTCGGGCCTCATGGATGATGCGCTTCTCCGCGTGGGCGAGCTACTGCAAGATGCGGGCGAGGAGCCTAGGGTAAGCAAAACAGGAAGAGAGCCTTCGGAGCTACCACAAGACGGTTCCAGTCCTGAGCCCTCTGGGCTTTCCGACATGTGGAAAGCAAGTAGCCGCGAGAGTGCTTCTGCAGCTCTGGCCCATTTTGGTGCACTTCTCCAGCAGCAGGTGAGCAGCGCTGCGGAATTGGCCGCCACAGCAATGCCAAGCGTGTCGAGTCGCACTTAAGAGCATCATAAGAAGCTTCTGGACAGCGCCGAACGATCTCGAACACCTCAAAAACAACTCTCGGAGCATGACTACTGCCACGGGACAGGACATGACAGGAACTACGAATTTGGACCATCGCTCGAAAGGCTGCTGGCTGCCGCAAGCAGTATTGGCATCTGTTGCCATCGCGAAGCAGTAAGGAAATCTGTGGCCACACTGCCTCAACGTCGTCCAGTCGATTGAGGTTGGAACGTATATTCGTGGACCACAACACGTGCTGGGCTGCGCGCCCGGTCATCAAAAGCTGGTGCCTACATGGAGCCAAAACTAAGCGGCTAATTCCGGTCACCATCATGTCTTCAAAAAAACGCAGCTCTGACTTGCAAGATGTTGGCCCACTCTTGGTCTCAGCATGTTGTTGAGTTCTCTCGTGCGTGCAGCGTTTTGCTCAGCCTATTCACGGCGTGCATCATCCCAAGAGCAAGTGGACAGGATAGATATACTGCACCAGTCCAGGGTTCACAACAGCGGCCAGTGCATGGAATCATGTCGCAAACAGTGATAGTACAGAACATTTTTGCTGATTCGTGGTCTGAGAGGCATGCGGCCAATACATCATGTGCGACGCCACCGGCTTTGGCTTTGCCTGGCCTGCGCCTTTGCCTGGTGTTGGGGCGCAGCCTTTGCGGGCGCGCAGCGCTGCCTGCCAGCCCGTACTTCCGCGCTCGGCGCAGTGTCAACAGCAGAAGCAGCGCGCGCAGAGCTGCGCGACGAGACGCGCCTGCTACGGGAGACAGTGACAGATTTAGTGTCAGAGGCCGCCGCAGCAACACCACATTCTCTTTGTATGTCAATGCCATGATTTGCCATGCGTAAGCTTCCACAGAGGCTTCCAACGTGACAGGTAATGATGGTGCAGGTGCGTAGCTGCCTCCAACAATGCTCTGAGAGGTCCGCCAGCTTCGGCAAAGGCTCACTGACACGGAAGAGCCGCAGGTGATGCCCTCACCCGTGGCCGAGGAGGGGTTTTGCAACTTCAGTGCCACTGCAGCATGTGAGCCCCTGCTAGGTCCAGGTACAGACGCCGCTGCCCACGCCGCCTGCACCACCTGTGCAAGCAGCACCAGTACAGTCGCCAGTGGCGCAGGCACCGCCCACACCCCGCAGCAAGGGACCTGCGAAAGGCACCACGGCCATCAAAGTTGTCAGTGCCGGTGGCGATGCAGGCAATATTGCGGACTTTTTCTTGGAAGATCAGCAGGTGCCAATAGGGGGCATGTCTAATCGGCGCGGGCTAAACGTGGTCGTGATCGATTCGTCAGCTGGTCATTTGCTCTCGGCAAAGACATACGACATTTGGGGAAACCCAGTTGAGGAAAACCGCAGACTGGCAAAGGACATGAGAGCTGTGGAGGAGGACAGCGCATAAAACTACAAACCCTTCTCAGATGCCTAGGCCGTTTCTTTTTACCAGATTTTTGACTGCCCAATGAGTGATTTATAGCGCGGCAGTTTTGCTGTAGGGGTTGTCGCAGGATAACATTGTCCTGGTGGCGTTGAAAGACTCAGGCATGGAGAACCTTGACTCATGGGGTTGTCTGGATGGTGGCGTTCTTGTTTACTTATTTATTCTTATTTGAAGATCAGACACGATCAAGTTAACCACGAAGAGTGCATCCGATCTCCAAGGAATCTGGATGCGGAAGGCTTGCACGCACTGCAGTCGGTGGGCTCAACGCTGGAAGGGCGCCTGGCCTTCCGACAGGGATACGCATTGATAGGCCGGGGAGCCAGCAAGAAAAGCACATCAGCAGCTTCAACACGAATGCAAAGAGCTTGGCAATGACTCTCAGATCGGGGAAACATATTTTTAGGGGCCTTTTTTACCGCTCTTTTGTTCTTCCGGGGCAGGGCCGCTTTCCGTATGTGAAAGACAGGAGGGAACGACGCACGACTTGGCGTGCAGCAGGAGAGCCGAGCAGAGAGATAGAAAGAAACCAAAAATTCAAGAAACAAATAACAACAGAAGGAAGGAAAGAAATAACGAAATGACAAAGAGAACGGAACGAAAGAAAGACAGAAAGGGTACAGATCCTCTCTAGCCAGTAGTGTTGAGTGGATAGCTGGTTTGTGCTCTCCAGCCTGCTTGATGATGCATTGGTGTTGGACTAGCTGTGGTACGAATGCAATGCGGTGTGTGACCTGAAATCCTACAGCAGGGGATCTGAGAGAGCCAGGGCAAACAATGTCACAGCCTCGCTGAGACGGATGTCCTCCCAGACTGGGTGTGTACAACGGGGTGGCAGGGTAGCTCTTTGGAAAGTCTGTGAGGGCGTCGATAAGAAAGAAAGAAAGAAAGAGAGAGACGTAGCCATTTTGGCTCAAGTCTCTGACCCTCGTTCTCTCCCTCGGGAGGGGCAGTCAGGCACCGGCCCCTTTCCTCTCTGGGGTGTCTCCCTGGGGGGTTGGACGCGTGCCCTGACGGGGGAGGCTTGAGCAACACGCCGCTGCTTTGTTTGACCCACCCATCCCACCCAGTACATAACCCAGCCTCCGGTGGAGCTACCCGGTTATGCAGGGCTTGCGCAGAGTTTGCGACGTCGCCAGTGCCCATAGGGTGGTTCCCTTGCGGCGTGGATGCCACGGGTGGAATGCCACATTCATCCTGGGTGCCAGGACGAGGCGGTGACCTCGAACCTGCGTGGGCGCTGGGCTGTGCCCGGGAGGGGGAGTAGTCCCCCTCAACGGCCGAGGAAGAAGAAGGGACTTGGACATGCAGGGCTGCAGAACTGGATTGGATGTGTGTCGATCCGCTGGGGTCCCGACCTGGACAATTGCAGACGCTGCTGGGTGTGGGGCAGTGCCCGGGGGGCAGTAATACCCCCGTGCACTCGAAGAAGAAGAAGAAGAGACGCGGCCTCAATTTTCCATTGCATTGCGACGGCGGGGGGGGGGGAACATGAAGGCATCCGTTCCACTTGACCCACTTGCGCAAATGCACGTGGGTCAAGTGGGGCAAGTGGGGCGAGCGGCGCGAGTGCGGCCAGTGGGGCAAGTGGGTCAAGTGGGCCAAGTGGAGCTAGTGGAGCAAGTGGGGCAGGGGTTCGCTTTGGGGCCCTCAAGTGGCTTGTTTGGAGCCTTTGGTTATGAGGGGAGAAGTGGGCTAAGTTGGAGCAAGTGGGCAAGTGGCCAGACCTTGAATCCCCCCTAATGCCGATACTCTCAACCATTGACTATTTACTCTATTACTCTCAACTATTGCTCTTACTACGTACAGTTCGTTTTTCCCGGTTTCTTAGCTATAAACTATAACTATTATGTGTACTATAAGCACTGACCACTTGCTATTACTTACTAATTACTATTAGTATCTATTAGTATTTACTAATGCGAATTGCTATTTGCAACTATATACTATTACTATGCAATTTCCAATTTGATACTTCTATTTGCCATCCTTGTGTAGTATTACTATACTATTACAAAGGTGTTTGTATCATGGCTGCTACCACTATGAGCATTTTCATCCGTTTTCAGCAGTTGCTGCAATCTCTCATCATCTCATCACTTTTCCGTAATGTTCGTAGTTGACATAATTTTGCATGATGTTAGCGGTAAGGAAGGAGGGGGCGGCCGCCCCCACCCAGCCCCCCCTTCTGTGTTTTGCAAGATGTTTAAGCACTTGTCAGCATTGCTCATCATGTTTCATGGCTCTTTCTCACTTTTTCATCATTTTCATCAGGTATGTTATGATTTCCAGAACTTTGTTTATATGATTTCCATGGTTTATCGCTATTGTTCCAGCATTCTGCATGAAACGCAGATGGGCAAGCGAGGCTGCACCTCAACACTCTCCCCCCATCCACCACCTTATTCCCCCCTCCATGACCCCTCCTTGCCACCCACTCCAACAAAAAAGATTGGCCCAAAGACCCTCCACCCCTCAGATCGCGTGGAGGCGTGAAGGATGGCGAGGCTTTGGCAGAGAGGAAGGGTCCGATGGTCATGGCAGAGGCACAGGGCCTCTGTCCTGCTTGAGTCTAAGGATAGCATGGCCAGCATGTGCTTCTGCATGAATGTGTCCATACGGAGATACCTTGACTTGCCCATCATGATGCACCGCCAGAGATGAGAACGCAACACTCCATGTATCTCAAATCAATGCCTGAGTACCTTTGCTGGCAAGCAGTCAACCAGCTCCTGGAGGCCAAGCTTCACTTTGCCGTGCGGCCGCCGCAGGCTCCAGTGAGGGCTCGCTGACCTTTGAGTGAAGGGCGCAAGGTGGGAACGCCTGAGGGGATGAGAAGTTCTGAAGCGTCTCCCTTTGAGCGTTTCTCAGAGCATGGACAGTATAGACTCACAGACCTTGCTTACCCAGCAGGATGAGTCAGTCATGCCCTGAAATTGTCGATTTCACCGCCTGCTCTCGACTGAGTGCAGTTTGCCACTAGGGTGTTGGTAGCATTCTGTAGGTAGGATCTCGCTTCAGCGTTACTGGGAGCTCGCAGTCCAATGTGCTCAGAGCCCCCCACTTTGGCTTAACAAAGTGGGACTGCATCCATGCCTGGGGACAGGCCGTAAGGATGTGCTTGGTTTGACTGCGCAAAGGAGAGGATCCAAGCTTGACATCCGTGGCAAACCTACATTAGGCACATGAAGCTGTCCGCCTTGGCTTGGGGCAATCCTCAGCCTGCCTGCGATGTGCAGGTAGCACGGCAGGATTTTGGGCAGCTGTTTCGGCAAGTTCCCTTAAGAAGCGTGAAAAATTGGGTACGCCCTTTGACTGGGCTCACTGAGCAGTCCATCCGTTGTTGCAAACTTGGTCATCCGCATTTGCCAGTGGCTCAATGAAAATGATGTGTCTTCATTCATGTAGGTACGTAGTGTCAGATCCCAGTATGAACCGACTGCGCAGCCACAATAGCTATAAGATCGTTGTAGCGCGTTCTCCGGCTAGGCAGGAACCATGAGCGGTATCTTGGAGGATCCTGGGCGCAAGGATGAGGTGGAGGCTTCCTTGCAAAAGCTCCAGGATCTCAAAGACACCTCCGAGGTCACTGCGGCGCTGTTGTCACTGGAGGCGGCCACCCTCCGCAGCTCCAGCTGCCAGCGCCGTTTTCTGCAGCTGGATGGCTCTGGCGTGTTGCTGAAAAGCATGGAAGTGCACCTGGATGATCAAAAGATTCAAATCATCGGCTGCCGCGTGCTGCAGCATTTGGCTTCCTTGGTGTCCCTGGAGGCAGCTGAGGTCTTGGCCAAAGCAGGAGCCTGTGAGGTGATCAAAAGCAGCTTAGAGGCGCACACGAACGCCGCACTGCATCAGGCAGCTCTCCAGGCACTGGAGCTCATTGCTTTCACAGGCTCGGAGGCCCGTGCCCGCGCCATCAATTGTGGCTGTCCAGAAGCTGTGGTCGCCTCGCTGAAACGCTTCCGGAGCGATGCCAATGTGCAGCAGGCCTGCTTGGCAGCCCTGCAGGCCCTGCTCGAAGATTCTTGTGGCACAGAAGCAGAGGAGGCCAACTGCCAAGAGACCGTCGCCAAGTCCGGTGGCATTGCCGCCATCGTGGGGGCGCTTGCGGATCACCGGGATGATGCACAGCTCCAGTACTGGGGCCAGGTGGTACTGACAGCACTTTGTCATGACAACGTCAAGCTGCGTGCAGAAGCTCAGCAGAAGTGCCACTGGCAGCGAATTGAGCCCCTCGGCTGAATGGAGACAGTGAGTAAAAGGCACGGAGGAGCAGCATCATTAGCTCGTGCGCCATGGAGTTGCGATTTCAGGCATGAGGCAGATGAGTGAACCAGTTGGACATTTGAGTGTCTTTGCTAGTTGAAGGATGCAGTTCAGCGAGTTGGAATTAGAACTTGCCAGCAATGGCAAGACTTCGCCTCCATATGCAATCTTCTAATGGGTCAATTCGCTTTGCAGGCCCTCCTTACACAATTTACCGTCAGCAAGCAGGATTTCCGATCTGAAAACTGCAAAGTAACACTACTGGATTAGGATTCAACAGACACCTCCTTTTCAGCTCCGCCAACCCAGCCGCCCGCTTTTGAGGATTGACTTTGATGTCTGAGTATGTCTGAGCTGCAGCTGCATGGCTACGCCGAAGCCTAAAACGGGCTGGCATGAGCACCCAAGCAGCACAAAACCTTTGGAAACGGTGACTTACTGTAGCAGACTCGGAATGCCAGCTACCAAGGATCATATAGAATCGCTCAGTCGCACCTGTGTTTGCTGGCTCACAGCACTTCTTGCTGGGCGCAGTGTGCTGCATCTCCAATTTCAACTTGAAGAAGTGCCGGACACAAGCGTTCAGACATAGCCTTTTTCGCCGGCCTGAACGGTTGTGGTAGCTTTCACGGAAATGCGCTTGTTGAAGCCTCGAACTTTATGTAAACCCCAGGCCAAGACGATTTACACGTAGAAACTGTGCCTTCGCTGCTTCCCGCCATGACGTCGCTGGACGAGGAAGGAGACAATGCGATCGGGCAGAAGGTGCGATGCATTCATGGATCTCAATGGGTTTGCTTGTGCAAGGACTGATGCCCAATTTGCTGCCAAAATCAGCCTGCCTGCTTCTGTTGCTGCAGCTTCCTGCACTCCCAAAAAAAGCCTTAGCACCACACCCTTGGTCAATCTTGGCTGGCAGGTGAAAGACATGTATTACGAGATCATCAATGGGAAAGGACTGCCAAAGCAACACGCTTTCCTGGCAACGGCGAAGCCAGACTTGTCTTACTTGGACTACTTTGAAGACTCAGGGTTCCATTTTGATGGTAGCCTGTCAGGAGGCAAAAGATCCTATGAAGAAGAAGCCAACGAGGCTACCACTTGCGGAGCCATGAAGAAGATCTGCATGGGCATGCCACGAGCTGCTATTCTGGGCGCAAGGCAGATGAGAAGAAGCATGTGAAGAAGCTCAATAAGCGCAGAGACAAGGCCAAACAATCTGCTTCATGAAAATGAATTGTATAAAAGTCTGTTTAAAGTCTTGCAGGAGTTGCGTAAGCAGCAGAAAAAATTGCAGGCCCGGCAGCCAGCAAAGAGTTCAACTTGCACAGATTCAGCATGTGATGATGTCGAAGATAGCACACAGCAGTGCCTGAATCGAAGCATGATGAGCAGGACGAGATGGCGAAGGCCTGCGCGTGATTTCTGCATCTTTGCACATGTTGAGATGCCGCAGCACACTGCCCGACGTCCCATACAGGCTGACTCCGATGATGACATTCCGTTTTTCATGCAGGAGCAGCACCTAATCTAACCTTTTCTTGCCGTGTTTCGCATCCCTGGAAAAGCTACGCACTATTAGGACGCCAGCATCAAGGCCGCCATGCGCGAGCGTGCCGAGGAGGATGCCGCAATTGTGTAGCTTTGATTTCCCGACAACGCCCGGCCTCCTCCTGATGCAGGAAGCCAGAAAGAATGCTAGCAGCTCCTCATCCTCCAGTGGTAGCTCTTCCTCCGGAAAAAAGAAAAAGAAGCTCCCTGCTCAGAGATTTGCATGTTGGCGTCGTAGATTCCTTGCGCGCCAAGAGCAGTGGGACGCTGCTTTTCTTTCATTGCAGCTGGCGATCACTGCTTCCATGAGGAAGAAGAAGGATAAGAAAAAGAAGAAAAAAGCCGCTCAGCCTGCATGCAGAATTTATTTGATTCAGCATTTGCGAGCAAAGACCATGCTATAGCCACCCCCTACGTGAGGATATTGGGGGGGGGAAGTCGTAATGGGAAAATATGCTTCCTCCTCCTATTTCGGGGTGGGGGGGCGAGTGGTTGGAAATAGGAGGAAATCCAGGAAAAAATAGGAGGAAAATGATAGAACAGAAAGAGATAAGTTCCAATTCTGTCAGGATCTGTCAGGCACCGCCCTACGGCTCCTCAGGTTTGTCAAGCGGAAGGAGCCCGAGCCTCCCACTGGAGATAGTGGGAGGCAAGGGCAGCGCAAGGATGCGGAAGGCGGAAGCAGCCTGAGCCGGAGGCAAGGGCAGCGGAAGCAGCGGAAGCGCAGTCTACCCACTCCCCCCCCACCCCCAACCTGTAATAGGAAATTCTCCTATTTCGAGCCCACCCCACACCCCCCCCTAGATAAGGGGTGGTTATCCATGCTGGAGGATAAAAAGAAGAAAAAGAAGAAGGATAAGAAAGCACCGGACCCAGACCATGTTCAAGGTTGCTTGTCGGCCTGTACCGCGCGTGCCCGGCGACGAGGCTAAAAAGTCATCTTCCTCCAGCTGACCAAGAAAAAACCTTGTGTTGGGAGTTGAAGAGGACCTGTGAATTTCCGCAGGCTTGCAGCTGCGCGCAAAGCTTCGGCTTCCCCAAGAAATGTCTTCATCCGGTTTCGGTCCTGATTAAGTACAAAGATGGCCAGAGACAAAGCACAGAGGCATCGGAGAGGTTATCAGTTGTGGGTACAGAAGACATGCGTGCAGCCAGCAAACCAGCACTCCTTAGTGGGAATCGATCCGCCAACGCTGTGATACGGACTGCCTGGCTAGCTGGGAAGTTTTGTGTTGCTGTTTCCGTCGCAGGGTGCCAGGACACCCGCGGCCGATAATGATCCGAGCAGCCAGAGCCTGCTCTACGCTCTGCCGGCTCAACCAGCAAAGTACGAATATGCGTGAAGGGTCATGTGCCGGTGCGAGCAAAGGTTGTCGCAGTGCAGTTTCTCGTTCCCAGAGATATGCTCCACTCGCAGCAGAAGCGCAAAAGTGCAGAATTGGAGCTTCTCATGAACCTAGAGGTATCCGCATCTTATATACTCGTTTTTACTTCTCCGCTGCAATCATCTCATACAACAAAAACAACAACAGGAGGAGGTCTGCTGGTTGTAAGCGAGAACCACAGTAACACAGAGAAGCAATGATAAATTCTGATGATAAAGCAGCAACAGAACAGAATCTGCAGGCATTGAGTGGCAGCCCAGAAGGACACGTCTCAAGATTGCATATCTTGTTTTCGATAATGGCGGTACAATGCGGTATAGGAAGTGACGGGGTATGGAAATGAGAGCATCCTCAGATCTACATGTAGGCCAACTCAAAGAGCAGAGCGCTTCGGAAGAAACTTTGTGAGGAGGTCTTCACGCACTCAGTTTGTTGAAGGACTGCAGGACGGCTATCAGCAAGCACACGGACGACGTTTATCTCGTCATTCTCAGTGTTTCAGCCACGTGGGCTCAAGGCCTAGGCAGGTAAAGTCACCTCAGGCTTTATTGTTAGGATGTCTTATTGAGGCTTTTTTGACAGTTCGAAAACAGCATTCAGCAAAAATAGGAAAGCCGCATCATATCACGAGCTTTTGGGAAGCCATTTCTCTTTGCCGCAAGTATCTTGCCTGCATGAGAGAATACGATTGCTCCCTTTATCTGCTGGTCCACCCCACCATCCCTCGGCTTCACATGTACGTCTCACGTGCTATAGCGTGAATAGCGGAGGGTCGGAGACCTAGGTCACCTTGCGAGCAACGTGGCTCCCCAAGCGCTGAGTGCCAACGGAGCATCCTTGGAGACACTCCACTGTATGAGCAAAGCCTCCTGGAGGACGGAAGTGCTGCCAGTGCAATTTGTCTGCCAGTCGCTTGCGCTCAACTCAAGGTCCATAGAAGAAGCTAAGTACTGCCCCTCAGCCGATCTTCCTAGCACCCCATCTTCCTGATGACGGACTTTCACGCCCGCGAAGCTTGCAGGTCTGCAAGTGGAAGCCATGAGCCCGGAGGCATGCTGTGACAAGGTGCTGGGCCAAGCAACCTTGATCCTCCCCTGCACCGCCCAGTTTCTTGGATTGGCGGCTTCTATCTTGGTATGCAAAGCAGACGAAAGTAGGAAGGTCACTAGTTGTGTCTTCAAAACCATTTGTCAAAAGTCTCTGGAGGTCACGATGATTCCTCTGCACTTGGAACTGTCGGGCTTATTGCTGCAGCGAAGGTGCCAACAAGAAAATTGGTTGTCAGAACTGCAGGGCATATGTGCGTTTGGTGAATTCTCGGGGCGACTACATGTGGGATTCACTGCATCCTTCGGAAAGTGCCTGAAGTTACGAATACACTCGCATTACTCGTTGTAATTTCTTCCAGCACTACTGATGATTGAGGGCAGTCGAGGGTACACGCGTTGGTTCTGCCAGACTAAGGTGATGTCGCGGACAAGTTAGATGGCATCCATCATCTGCCTGCAGATATCTCACATCAGCATACTTATGCTCTTGCCTCAGTTGACCCTGTCTGCACTTGTCTGCTGCCTGCTGCTGAGCCTCAGAGACAAAGAGATTTTCTGATATTTCATTTTCTGGGCTTCAATTTAGCCAGGATGCTTCTGATACTTTTGACCTGTCTCTCAGTTTGTCAAGGCAGAGGAGTAGCCGCTATGCCACTCCTGGGCACGCACGGCCTGGCCACAAACTGGTGGAACCAGACTTATGACTGGCAAGGCTCACGGGCCAAACTGCTACAAATAGCCCCTCTTCCCACTTCATCGTTGAGGTGCCCTGTCTTTAGCTGAGAGCGTTTCTGAAGAAAAGCCTGTCAGGGAGTTGCCTGCAGGATCTGCAGAAGGGCGTGGCGTGTTTAAGGCAGATGTCATGGTCACAAACCAAGGTAGCGTCTTCGAGAGTTTGCCTCCTGCGGGACCACGCTGTCTCCATGGTCCGTCCCATGTACTTGATGCGTAGCTGTTCAACAGCCACCGCAGTTCCTG